ATAATTCTGATATCTGTCATCTTTGTAGGTAAGATTCCCCAGTGTGATTTTTTGGGCTCATTTTCCTTGGAATTTTATCTGTCAGGATTGTGGGTTTAAAGTACAATCCTCCACAGATGATTTATATTCGTTCCTTCTAGGTGCTTGAGATTATTACCAGGCAAGGATAACTTCACATTTTCAGGTTGGGCCTACCTACCCACCCCTAAAATCACAGAACTGATGTGAACTCTGGCTTTAAACTTACTCAATAGGTAGCTTCTTATACATTCTCAGGGAAGACTTTTCTTTCCCCAATTTGTTACCCCTTGCACCCAGATACAAGGCAGAGACAGGTCCAAATCCCACTATCAAGCTCTGAAGATCTGCTTATTTTCCTAGTTCATCAATTGAAGGTGTATACTGTAAGGATTCTGGACTTATGGTAAGGGGAAGAGGTCTCACATTAGACCTCACCACCAAGTATAGGCCTCCAATGTCACTTGCCTATACACCCAGCACACAAAATGAAAATTTGGGCTGTGGGCTAACAGGAAGCAGTTGATAACCACTTGCAACCCCTAAGACAAACATCTGTGTGGTATTTTGTCATTCTGTACTTTTTTTTTTTTGGTGGTGGTTTTTGGCTCTGAGGAATTTCTTTACTTACCCAGCTCAATCATGCATTAGAAAAGATAAATACCCTCTGCAGCACTGTTAAGCATTTATCTGAATCTGGTCAGACAGATGGCTCTGGCTTCTATTTCTATAAAATAGGAGGTAAGGGTCATATGCTGAGGACCGCAGTGGGGAATAAAAGGTTTTCTAAACAATGGAAAAGGCTTGAAACAGTGTGAAAATGGGAAAGTTGAAGCAGCACTAAATAATAAAGAATTAATGATACCCAGGAAAGTTCATGGTATAGAAAGATTTACTTGATAAGAGTTTACAGCATTGGAACTATACGGTAGTCTCACATCTGGTACATGTTAGCCATATGACCCTGGACAAATCATATCCCTTTTTTGTTTCATAGGAGTTAGATGAAGATAAATGTATAAAATGCTTTGAAAATATTAAATGCATAAAACATAAGGCATTATGATGTTTTCTGCAAAAGATATGTATCAGAAACTCTGGTCTCAGAAAAACAGGATTAAGTTAGTGGAAAAAATGTACCTTAGTAGATTCTGATAAAAGTTTATAATCACAGTTACAAATAAAAGTCAAATACTGAACCTGGCCGCTATTACCAGAGAATAGTACTACTCTGAGACTTAGCCTTTCTGTTTAGAATTTGTTGAAACCAAATTAGCTAAACTCTAATGATTATATGCCATTTTCATGTTATGAAAATATCTTTGCTTAACAAAACTCTAAAAAAGTAGTTTCACTAGTGAGATTTTACCCACGGTAATAAAAAAAAACAAAAACAACTCTTTAATCAAACCAAGATAATCTAAGAGAATCTTAGCATTAATAATATGGAATCTTCAAGACAGAAAATATAAAGATTCCTGACAGTCCATAATTCACCTCAAATATTCATTAAAATATAATTAAATCCACACACATTTGATGACTAAATATTTTCTAGGTTTTGAAATTTTTAGATCATCATTCAATAATATATTTACTGTTGTTCTAGTTGCTGTAAAGTAAAAATATAAAATAACTTCTTATCCTCAAGGAATTTTCATTTTAAGTAGTGAAAATATTTTTTATGGGAAATCACCAAACATGACAAAACCAACATACCTGTAAGTTGACTTTCTTGTTATTTAAAGGGTCATCAATATTTGGAAGAGCTTATCCATTGGAAGGAACAATAACATCATCAATGAATATAAGAGTTAAGATTTTAAATTTAATTTTCCTAGGTGTTTAGTCATTATGACTAAGTCACTGTATTTTATCCTGACTAAGCAACTGGCATTCATAATACAAAATTGCAAGAAAAAATGTCAATATGAGCCTCAAAGATGAACTCATTGATTTTGGCTTGCATTTCAATGCTCCAAAGATAGTGTACTAACTCTCATTTTAAGTCCTTTTGCATGTGGATAGCATCAGTTTTATCAGATAATCTGTTTTAGATACAGAAGAGTTTTTCCAGTGAAATTACAGGAGTGTAAACCCTTGTTTGGTTACATTCATGTTCTACTGATATTGCCAGAAAAAGTTCAATGTGGTTTTAGATTAGTGTACTTTTCTTTTTCCCTTTCCTTCCAACAGTCTGTTTCCAGGAGGTTAAGTTGAAAAGCCTAATTGTTTCAGAAAGGGCCACTTCTTATCTCAATTCCATCCAAATATAGTCAAAGAGAAAGAGTGGTTTAGGTAGTTCTATTAAAAAACATGAGTTTTGGAAGACCCACCAAAATGTGTTCAAAGTAGTAATAGTTGCTTTACCATTTTTTGCTGATCCATAGTTTTTATACCTAAATCCTTAAAGTTAAAATATTTTTAGTTAGTGAGAAAAGTATAACAAATGCTTTAAATAGAGTCAAAAGTAAAATAGAGTTGTTTTTAATATGACAAATGGGTAAACAAAAGACTTTGAGTTAAAAATAACCAAGTATCAGTTTCCTATTGGCCAACAGACTTTCTCTACCACTTTGATATAATATGAAAAACTCACTGCGAAGAAACTTCATTAATTCAGAGTGATCAATGGGAAGTACATTTCCAGTTATGTGGAACTGATATTAAAAACTGGATTAAAATAATCTTTAAAATTCAGGTTCCTTTGGAGTTTCTCTAAAAGGGAAAAACGTTTCTGATTAAAAAGTCTCTTTTTAAATAGAATTTCCAAAATGTTGAAAATATACTTAAGTACTGTTACATGTTCTAAAATCGTTTGATTACAAAAAAAAAAAAAAAAAAAAAAGACAACTCACATTGTTATTAGGAGACACCACAAAAGAAAAAATTTGGAAAGAAACTGAGCTAAAGTTATGTTTTCTAGGTCAATAGTGTTTTATTGCTGTCTCAAAAAAGTACACAACACCAATGAGATTATTGTTTACTAGGAAGATTTTTAGACTTTAAATTCTTCCTTACTAGCTTGGAATATTAATCAAATGTCTGAAAACCTGATCTAGATACTTTGTGTATTTTATGCTGTAAAACCATACTTTTTAGAATTCTGAGCTTAAATATTGGTGCTTTTTCTAGTGTGATAATGTTAGCTGCTTTATCTTGGAGTGAGGAGCTAGCTGGTAGAGAGTACAAGGAATCTTCTAGGGCACTAGAGATGCTTTATATTCTGGGTGGTGGTAACATGGGTGTATACATGTGTGAAATTTAACTGTACATTTAAATTATGCATTTTATGGTATATATCTCAAGTAAAGAGTGCTTAGTCATTAATGAAATGCCAACTATTTTACAATGAACCATGAATATGACTTTGTAAGTCAAAATGTATGGGGGAAAACAAGTTATCTGTATGCTCACAGCATGTGAACTGCTAGTCACTTTCAGGTAAATTAATTGTATCTGACGCTATATAAGACTTACAGTGATGAGAAGTCACTAATAGCCTATCAGAAACTCAAACTTCTATCAAGTGTTAAAACAGCTTAAACAACTAGAAGATTAGAACATCCTCAAATAAGTGACATGATTACAGCATGATCATTTGATTAATGATTACTCATTGTTTTTATTTCTGCTTCTTGCTGTTTGGGTTTTTGTCATTATATTGCTTGGACTGCCAAAAAATTGAAATGAAAAAGAATTAAAGTTAAATTACTTTTGTTACCTAACTGTTGTTTTTAGTGTGCTAAATAGCTGAAGTTATGTGCGTGATTTTAAAAGTATGTGTTGTTTATTATTAAGGGAGAAAAGAGTTGATTTATGAAGGAAATGTAAACACCTAATCTGCCTCAAATGTTTTTTCTTTTTTTGCTTTTGCTAGGAATTATGTTAATTCTCATCACCTCCAAAAGCCTTTGAGAGGATTAGCTGCATAGACCAATATTGTTCTATATTAGTCAGTATTAAGCATATGATGTCACCTTGTTCCTCCCCTCCTCAAGCTTTTCTTTGGAGGGAAGGGGGGGGCGCATTTTGGGGCAGTTCCCAAAATACTGTGGCTTAAATACCACTAGCTGACACACATGATTGACAACCTTAAACTCCCAAACCTGTTTGAAATGGGTCAAATACTCAAGCGCTGCAGAACAATGCAATTCAACCAGCAATTCCCCATAAAAGAGAAAGGGGGTGTGATTAGGTTCCAGCAATTAAGCAAGTTATTGCAAAAACAGTTTGGTGGCTTGTTTCTGCAATAGGCACAAGTTAAGGAGTATTTTCTTTCTTAATTTGCTCCAAAAAAAGCTATACTGTAAGAGGTAGGATAAATTACCAAAGCATGAAGCACCTGGAGCAAATATTAAGGGCTTTATGGAGGTCCTTAGACTGACCTGCAGCATTGGTTATTGATGGTTAACCCTGCTGGGAACGATCGATCAGAATTTGTGTGAGCCTTATTGAGCCACAGGAAAGGAGATGCAGGAGGGAATATAAGCTTCTAATAAAAGAAACGCAGCAACAATAGCAGAGGAACAGCTCTGCCTGGTGACGTAATGGCTGGCAGAGGTCCAGCTTCAGCAGAGCTGCTGCTACCTCAGCATCCAACCTCCCTCAACACAGTCCAGCTTCAGCGGAGCTACCGGAGCTGCTACTTCTGGCGTTGCTACTTTGTTGCTGCCACCAACCCCTTACCTTACAGGACAAGAACACTGAACAAAAGGGGTTGTCCTGCTGTTTTTAAGTTGACAGAACACACATTCTCTTACTCACACTCTGCCAAGCCCTTCAGTAACCGAATCAACCAGATGCTTAAGTTTAGGGCGAAAACACTGGCGCACACTCCAGGGGTGCCTCAGTTTACCCAGGCTGGTCTCGAGTCCACCTCTCACTGTTCCCCCGCCCCACAGCCGCCGGCCCTCGGCGGGAGTTGATGGGGCGGCTCCGCTCACCGCCTGGGCTCCCCCAAGTCGGTCCTCCCGCCTTACCTCCGCCAGGTAGAGGTTGAGGAGACAGAGCGTGGAGAACTGGAGACAGGAGGGGAAGCAGTAGAGCAGCCAGTGGGGGAAGAAGTGCAGGTGAGCGGGCGGCCGGAGCAGGGGCAGCGAACCGCTGAGCGAGAAGGCGGCGGAGAAGAGGGTGGTCCTGAGCGCTGCCCACAGGAGACAGAGGAAGAGGCAGAGGCTCTGGTAACTCAGCCGCCGCTCGCGATACAGGAGCAGCCGCCACAGCTGCAGGTAGGCAAAGGCGAAGAGCGCGGCGTAGAGCAGGGCGTGCAGGACGCTCAGCGCCAGCTGCACGGAGCCCGGCACCGCGGCGCCAGAGGCGGCAGCGACCGCGCCTCCGCCTCCGCCGCCCGCGCCGGGCGTCGAGGGTTCGCGGCCGGCAGTGGGGGCGACGGCGGCCTCCGGACCCGGCACTGACACCCTCATGAGGGGGGTGGGGGACAGGCGAGGGAGCGCGGGAAGGAAGGGGCCGGACTCCGGGACGCCGTCGATGGGGAGAAGGCTTGCCCTCTTACCCCCCACCCACCCCAGCCTCCAACCCCAGGAAGCGCCGTGACAGGACCCGGAGCCCCGCGCAGAGCAGCCGCGGCTCCCCCCTACCCCGCCTTCTCTTCTCCGCCCCCCCTCCCCCCGGGGGTCTCGGCTCCTCCTGCTGCGGCTCGGCTCCGTAGCTGCAAAAAACAACTCTCGGCTGGAGACAATCAGCTGAGAAACCCGAGCATTTGAGGCGCTCGCTCCGCACCGTGGGCTAGCACCGATTGGCCCAGGCAGGCACGCCCCCCAAGCGCCGCGCTCGAAAGGCCACGGGCCTTAGAACCCGTCACTCCGAGGTCTTGAGATCCGATTGGGCGGCCAGTTTCCCCGATTTCTGCCCCCGCTCCACTCCCTACCCATACTGCTGATTGGCCCAGCAACTGCATCGCCGGCTCGCGCCGGCGGGAGGACTCGGTTGTCGTCTGTCACCTGGGGTGGCTCTCGCTCCGCCCTCTGCGCCTGCCATTGGCTGGGGAGTCCTTTACGTAAGAAGCACGAGGAGAAGGAGGAGCCTCGGGTGATGTTTTTTTTGCTCCGGTGACCGATTCCACGGAGAGGGTGGCGGCCACAGGCGGGGAGGGTGCGGGCCGTAAGTCCTTACAGGTAGGCGTAGCTGTGGCCGGCCTCCTGGAAAGCCGGCTGCTGCCCCGCCTTCTGCCTCCAACTTGGTCTCAGGAGCCAGGAACCCTCGTCCGTGGGTTTGGTCCGGGTCCATCCCCGTAGGTCTTGCATTATATATATGTATACAGGTCTCAGGCAGGTAGGTGGCAGCGCGGGTCCTTCAGATATGGTTCTATTTTTTTTTCTCTTCTGTCTGCAGAAATGGGTATTCAAACCTGGCGGCTTTCCTCTAGCAGGGGCTGCACCGCTAAACTCTGAGTTAGCACTACTGCTTCTGGGACACGGAGGGGCCTCACCCGGACCTTTCTGAAGGGCATTTTATTTATTGATTGATTTATTGATTTATTGATTGATTGTGTGAGCTGTAGGAAACCGGGATGTGTGGGTGGGATGATGTGACGGGTGAACCGAAACTCTTGAGTTAAAAGACCCCCTTCCTTTGGAAACGTCCTTTAATAACGAGCGGTGGTAGGATCAGAGGAATGTCGAAGCGATCTGTGAGTAGAAGGTTGTTCTTTGAAAGAAAATTTGGGAAGATGCCTCGGGTATAAATTTGCGGGGGTGGGGTTGGGGGGGCAGAATCAAAACTAATGATTGTCTAGAAGGAAAGGAGAATAGCCTGCTTCTTAAATCCCACTTGTGTTGAAGCCTTATTACTGAATATAGGAGATGGTGGCGCTATACCTAGGTCTGAGAAAGCTACAAAATAAATGTTATGTTACTGCTTATGTATAAACGAGAAATAGTTATTCCAACATATTCCACACATAATATTTATTGATTTTTTTGTGTGTTTGGAAATAAAGGGAACAAAGTGGTGAGAGAGTAAGAGGAAATAATTTATGTTTTTGGAACGAACAGCACATCACACATTCAGTAACCTTGTAAAAGGTACTTTACTGGAGCAATCAAAACAGTCTTTCCTCACTATTCTTTGTCCTATGCTTTGCCCAGGAAGAGCGTTGCTCTCTTTTTGCTCAAGTAAGTGGTCAACGTGGAGGGACTTTAAAGTCTGTTTTGTACTCCAGTTTCTGGGCTAGTAGTTCACCAGGCTCTAGGTACTGCTGCCGTGTGGGTTCTTTCTAGGTATAATGACAAAATGATGGATGAGTGTGCCTGATACTATTATGTAGACATTCTCAGATGAAAATTCAGTGGAGCATGTTGACCAGTGTAGGTTACAGTAGGGTACAACTTACTGAAAGAAGTTAACAGGCCTGATCCAACATCAATACTTTGAAGAAGGAACCTATTATTTGGAATTTAAGAGAATCAGCAGAATTGATTCTTACAGAATATGGTTAGGGTAGCCTTAAAACAGGTGATAGAATGCTCATGACAGGAGTGAGGTAATTGATTGCAGCTGTGTACTTAAGCACAAAATCAGTTATGTCATTTTAAGCATCTGTCAAAATCAAGATTACCATTTGTTCTTCAGCATGCCCTATTTGTGCATCTTCCATGATCAATGAAGTATGAATTTAAGTTCAGGAAGAGGTTTTTTTTTTTTTTTCCTTTTTCTCTTCTATTTTCTGCTCAAAATGGTGATAAAAAAACATCCAGTTTGTACTCACACAAATTTGCTTGTGAAACTCTTTTTCTCCTTGTGTGAGAGTAAGTATGGACACATTTTTCCTTTCTTTCTCCCTTTTTTGGGTGAAGAATGTGGGGTAAAAATACAGGATTTTCTTTCTACCTGCTTAGAAGGACTCTGGCAAAATGTCGACTGCTTTTATTGCTTCCTTTGGGTCCTTGGGTTTATTGAATAATAAACTGTTGAGATTTAATCAACATTTTATTAGAGGCTGGTGCAGTGAGCAGGTTCTGTTCTTCAGTAGCAGCATTAAACTGTAAGTAAGCTATTTTTTGACAGAATGTTTTTATAGGAATTTTGTAAGCATTATATGCCCCATTTGTTGCAAAATATGGAATGTGTCTTTTCCCAGAGAATAGTGCACACAGATCTTGATATAATTTATTTAATAGTTATAGTTGCTAACTAACTTTTTTTCTTGACAGGGTAAGCAATTGATTTTATGGTTAATCACAATGGAACTTTAGTCCTATAAAGGGGAAACTCATCAAGGATCCCCTAGAAAAGCTTACTGCCAGGTATTCTAAAATTTAAATGTATTCAAGTGCACAAAGGTTGAATATTGTACTACTGAGAGGGCAGATTACTCTTTAAAAGCAGACCTGTGTATTACTGTACACCAGACCCAATACCACAATGGGACTGATTTAGCTAAAGGAGGACTACCAGCTGTTCTACCGGCCTAAGGAGCACATAGAGGCAGATTTGCATCTGCCTCCCCACAGGAAGGCAGGGTTTATGACTTTCACTTGAAGTACTTCCTGTTTTAAGCTCTGTGGTGACTTTATTAATATTCTGTTGCCGAACCAAAGAAACAAACATCCCCTCCCCAAAACAACAAAAACCCCCCAAACAACAACAAAAACCCCTCATGTTGTCATTTGCTTATTTTTTGTGTGCAAGCTTTAGCTCTTTTTGTACTGTAGCCTCACTGACCCATTCTTATAGTGCTTGTTATTATCTTAGTTTCAAGTCAGTCATTCTTTCCATCTTTTAGATCACTTTTGCATGTATACTTATTTAGAGTTTAGGGGTAAGACTAAAGTTATATCTTTTTTGTGACCTCTGATTACTGCTTATAGGATTATTATACTGAAGAATTAAAGACCCTTCCAGGCTGAAAGTTTAGAGGTGTATGTGTGTTGTGTTGTCAAGCATTCTGTAACACTTACTTGTGACTTCTTTATTTTGCCTTTGGCACCTGTTGTGGTAATAGTTTCATTTTGAAGAAGTATCTTTACTTTTAGAATCTTCCTATAGTGGAAATGGGTCAACTTCCTGTGAATTCTTTGAAATTTAGAATGGGTGTTTTGCATTCAAGTCATTTTCCTCTTACTTGTTATTTAGACCAGGTGTAAAAATAGGCAGGTTATATTGCGATAACACCTCCAAAACTTTAGGGATTTAAGTAAACTTTGTTTTACGTTCACGATGAGTCAGCTGGGAGTTTTGCTCCATTTTGTTTTATTTCTGGGACTTGAGTTGACAGAGAAGGCCTCATTTTGAGTATTACCAATCATCAGAGCAGAGAGAAAACATATCATGCTTGACACATGTATATCGACTCTCAGAATTTTCCAGAAGCTATATGTCATTTTTTGCATTTCATTGATTAAATTAAGTCATGGCTGTACCTAACTCAGGGAGGTATAAGTTTAGCATGTATAGAGAACTGGAAACATTTGGACAGTCCGATGTTCAGTCCACACATCTTTTACATCCTATATGCAGTTGATTTCTTCCCAGTGGAGATAAATCCGGTCACGTGTCACAATTAAAGTCCAGGATTTCTAAGTAATTCTCAATAGTGATAATTTCTTTATCTGGTCTAGACATGAGTTATCTGTCTCCTAATCCATATGTTGAATGCATAGGGTAATGTAGGGACAGATAAGTTCCCATATGGAGAGGGGAAGAATGGAAAACATATACCAGACTGTAGATTGTAGTAATTTGCAGATGTTGCCAGGGATCTTGACTTCTTCCCTACATTCTATGGGCAGTTTTTTTTTTTTTTCAAACTGAGTGTAGTTTGAATATTTGGCAAACAATAAAAATAAGCTGTAGGACAAGTAAAGTAAATATGAAAACCAGTTTGAAATTTATTATTAGTCAACAGATACAAAATTACTCTTGTGAAATTTCTAGAAAAGCTTCTAAACACACTGGATTTCTGTATTTATCTCATTATTGTAGCTCATTAACAAATAGTTCTTATTCTGCACATGCCCTAGAGCATAGTTCTTCATGGTCTTTGGCTTTGCCCTATGAGAGATCCTGCCATTTTTATTATCCTTGGCCACATCTGAGATTGGCTTTGGACAATATGGCTCTTTCTATGGTTGAGCAATTTGTTAAGCATGCTTTGATGACCATAGAAGGGTGGGGGCTCAAGATTATTTTTGGTTGTGAATAGCCGGTCTCTTGAATGGGTTCCAATTATCTTTTAATACCTCGTTAAATATGACCAACAGTGACCACCACATAGTATTTATTTTCTGTCTTTCAGCCTCTTTTCTTAGTGCAGTAAATAAATTCATTAGCCACAGAAACCAAGGTGCATGTTAATTGTAAATTCGTTAAATACACATCACCTCCAAATTATTGTAGCAATGTTTTTATCAAATATTTTGTCACATGGATAACTTGATCTGAGCACCAGTATTGGATAAATGTTTCCTTGAGTAGGTCCAGAATAGTTTGTGTTCACTTGGATCCCTAGCCAGTGTTTTGGGATTTTTTTTGTGAAGGCAACATCTCGATTCTGGTTTGCATACCAATGATGATAGATTAGCATGTGCTGCAACAACTCCTTCTCAAATTTCCATGGCTTAAAGCAATAGGTTTATTTCTTCCCTATGTCACATGCTCATTACACATAAGCTAGGAGTTCTCTGTGTTAAGCTCAAACTGACAGAACAGCTACCATTTAATCATTTCTAGTGACCCTGACAGAGGGAAATAAAAACTGTTGTTCAGTGAATTCTCCTAAAACTGTTGCCTAAAGGAGAAATGACTTCTCCTTGCATTTTTTTGATCACATGATGACTGTTACTAGCTTTACTGGAAATGGAGGGAAGAGGGAGCTAAGTGAGTCCTACCCTATACATGGGAACTGGAATTGTATTAATGATCTACCATATCAAAGAAACAAAGTCACAATTCTTTAAAGGTACTCATTACTTTTTTTTTTTTTTTTTTTTTTTTAGGTTCTTGTTTTGTTTTGTTTTTGTTTTTTTCAGTGCTGGGGAAGGAATGTAGGACCTCACCCATGCTAGGTAAGTGCTCACCCTTGAGCTGAATCCCCTGTCCCAAGGTTCTTTAATTTTTGAGGCATTAACTATTGTTTTCTATTTCCTTTTCTAATTACTAAAGGAAAAAACCTCATGAATAGCTTCTATAACCAGGGGAATGGCACATGCCTATAATCCCAGCAAATGGGGAAACTGAAGCAAGAGGATCCCAGGTTCAAGTCAGCCTCAGCCAATTACTGAGACCCTAAGCAATTTAGTGAGATCCTGTTTCAAAATAGAAAATAAAAAAGGGCTAGGGATGTGGCTCAGTGGTAAAACACCCCTGGATTCAATCTCCAGTACCCTGACAAGAGAAAAAACAAAAACAGCAACCAAATATGTTCTGTATCTTTGTCTTTATTCTGTTCTTGCTGGGATTCTCTTTCCCCATGCACATTTCCTTTTCTCTAAAGATCTTTTAATGAGAAGAGCATGTTTCTGGGAAAGTCCATTTTATTTTTTATGCATGCGATAATGCTCACTCTTCTGTGGCCTGAGAGGGTAGATTGGATTAATATGAGTAGAAGGTATGGGAGATTTGATTACACATGGTTGATAACTTTTTAAGACAAAATAAAAGTGTACACTATTTAAAGAGATGGTACTCGAAGGCTTCAAAAGTTCCCTTGGTATCTACCCATGCCCCCAGTTACTTCTTGTTTAGAGATAGTTACCTTTAACTGGTCATTGTTTTGACATTGACTTTCCTTTTTCTAATAAATATGATTTTGATCTTGTGAAAGATAGATTTAGTGCTCTTTCATCCCTTTATCTCACCCTGTGTGCTCCCTTTCTGTCTCCTGCCTTCTCACTCTTATTGTTATGGTTTTGGTTAAAGCTGATCCATGCTATATTCTCTGCTTTATGTCATTTTTAAAATAATCAAATTTATTTAAAAATCGAAACAAATTGCAGAAATTACTACTGAATTCTTATGTTTAAAATTAGGTAAGAATAATCACCAATGTCTATAATGGACCAAGTGCACAGTACTTTCACATGTATAATCTCCAATTCAGTGTTAAAATGTCCAATTTAGTGTTAAAACAATGAATTATAATCTCAAGGACAGGAAAGATGATATTGAATCTTTCAGTTGTGATCTTACCTATTGTTTTACAGATTGTAGTTATTTCATATAGTAATGAATGTTAAATAGTTATTCCCTTAGCAGTAGGAATGTATTTCCCTCCAGAATGTAAAGAAAATAGTGGATGACCTATTTAAAAACATCCCCATTAATGTAAAGTGGCTTTAAAATAGGGTGGTTTAAAATGACAATAATGCATGATCAATTTTAATGTCAGGATACCTCTTAATTATGTCATGAAAATTACATTTTTATATGCCTCTCACAGTTCTTATTCATCATTTTACTTTGAGTTTTTGAACACTTGACTTATTACTAAAAAATTACTAGCAAATTTGTTCACTGGTATAAACTAGCTCTAGGAAGTAACCCATTAATTATTAGCTCCTTTTTTTAGGAATACTTGTACACTATGAAGAATATATGTACTTACTGATAATATTGAATGACTGTATTCAGTTTATTAAGGGTTTTCCATTTTTTTTATCATTTTATTCTTTATTAAAAAAATTGCCCATATGCTTATGAATATATAGAAATAATTTTTGCTATTTTTCCATTGCCTATTTTGAAATAGTATTCTTGCATTTGAAAGATATAAGTCCTATTTGAAATAAAAAAGAATTAAAACAAATTTCTCACCTATACTTGTGAATATTCTTTACCTTCTATAAGTAGGGTATTTTTATATTGTAGTACTTTTCCTAAACAATTTTCTTTTAAACATAGGTAATATAGATCACAAGAGAAGAACTTCCTGAAGTTGTTCAAGAAAAATTTGAAAATAGCAATATAGAAGACAAAGAGAATTGACAGCAGATATAGAGGGCAGCATGGAAGTAAGTACACCAGGGAAGAAGATGAGAGGAGGATATCTAGGTCAAGTCTGAGATTAGAAAATAGAATTGAATTAAAATATGAGTTGAAAATACTTCAGATTCAAAGCAGTATAAAGAAATCTAAGTCTTGAACATTAAAAAATATATATCTTTAGAAATAATGTACTCTTAGTAGATATATTCTAGAGGATTTAAAGTAAATAAATGGGCTGGGGTTGTAGCTCAGTGGTGGAGTGCTTGCCTAGTATGCGTGAGGCACTGGGTTATATCCTCAGTACCAAATTAAGAAAAAAAAGACACAATATCTTTGTTTATCTACATCTAAAAAAAATTAAAAAGAAAAGAAAGTAAACATAGTAGATATATTTTGTATGTATCATTCCCTTCTTAACAGGATTTAGTAACTATTTGAATGTTTATTGTAAGTTAAGTGTGGATAGGCAGAATAAAAATGTCCAATTTAAAAATGGGTCTGTTGCCCCAGCCTCTTGGATTGCTGGGTTTACTGGGCCTGGCTAATTTTAGAACCTTTAAAGGTGACAATTAGCCTAATATACTCAATAAAATATCTGTGAAACTCAGGTTACCAAATTGAGAATTTTTCAGATATCTTTGGTTTCTTTTGCAGTTATCAAAAATCAATAGCATTATTAAATTAGTGCCATTTTATATGCATGCATGTATATACACATCATTCTCCCTCAAATTTTTTACTAGAAGGAAATAGTAAAATTCTATCAAAATCAAAATAATGTAAGAAATAACTTGTAGATTTAACTTTATTTAACAAATTCATTTAATAACTTTGTTGGATACCTATTCTGTGCTAGGTATTGTCCTAGGTAATAGAATACAGCAGAGAACAAAACAGACAGATTCTCCTGCTCATATGCAACTACAGCTGATGATGTCTTCTGACTTCAGTATATTTAGAGTTGGGATCTCTTTTATCATGATGTGCATTTTTCATAAATCAACTGAAGATTCTGTGCCAGAACTGAGTCCTCAGAAATATTTCAGCACATTGCAACCAGGAAAAGCCTCTCTAGCTTATTTTTGTCAAGCTGGTAAATATTTTTAAAATTCTAATATTCTTTTGATGTTTATATTACTGTGTAGTTAGTATTTGCTTAAGTGGGAATTTCCTGTCAAGATTAACCATATATGCTACAAAGCTGTCATTACAATTTACCTGCCTTGGTAAATCTGAACTCTGCTACCTGGCCTGTAGTGTTTCGCTGGTCAAGTCTCTTAGCTTCCTTCTGTTTCTTTTGTTGTCTGTTATGAGGAAATAATAATTGCTTTCTAGGTGTGTTGTGAGGATTAAAGAAGTTTACTCATGTTTAATTCATAACAACTATTGTTTTAAGGATTAGTTTATGATGTAACATCTGAATTTTATTTAGTCATTTCTTAAAGTATATTTTCTCATAGTTTAGCATGTAAATATTTTTTTAAAAATTAAAAGCTAAAATGTAGTATTAGTAATGCTTTAGAACTCAGCTCTAGCTGTATCATTAATTATACTGAATTAACTAATATAACTATTGAACAAAACTAATAATTGTAAAGGTCTCATGTAATATTTCATTCCTTAAAAATACTATTCTATTCTTGGAATTAGTAAATGAAGTGAATCCACTTTTCCGTTAGCTCCCTTTTTATAATTGTAACTTGGTATTTTAAAATTATTTTGAAAAGTTTGTATATGTGTATATGTGTGTTGTGTATATGGCATTAAGATTGGAAGAAATATGCCTAATGTTAGGTTCAAATTAAATGTTTATTATATATTTTTAATTAGGATTTTTTGAAGTTTATAAAGTTAAGTATATCATGATAAAAATATTAGAAAAAACATTAGAAATAATAATAATGAGGTATGCGTTAGAAGCTAGTTGGACAAATAGTATATTTCTTCTGTTTGCAGATTTTGGCTTTTACTTTAAAAGTTTATCCTTTTACAAAGGCAACCTATAAATATTCATAAAACATTTCTCATTTTAGATTCACCAAGTACCTCTGTACTTCTTGAAGAACTGAATGAGGCTGCTAAACCTCTCCAGGACTATGGGATTTCAGTTGCAAAGGTAGAAAGATATTTATTTTCATAAAATAATAGTGACAGACATTTTACAACTGTATGGTTTAAGACTGAATATCTAAAGATACTTTCTTTTTCCAAACAGGAAAAACATTTTTTTTCTTTTTTTGTATAAGAATAAAGAGAGTCAGAGAAAGATAGTTTCATATTATTGTACAATATAGTACATACAGAGGAAAGACTTTTTAAAATTCTTTAGCCTAGAATTTAGTTTTATTTCATAAGTCATTCCATTAAAGTGAAGTGTCATTTTCAAACCTATAGTTAAGTTTTTGTTCTGTTTTATTTTGCCTGACAAATATCTCAACTATTATTAAATTTCTATTAGTGCAAACTGGGGTAACGGAATTAAGGTAACTGAAGAATTTTTTGTTTTCTAAGTCTTTATAATTGTTTTTGTTGTACTTTTTCACATTTTTTAGAACAAAGTTTAACAACTCAAATATGTTTTTTAACTTTTTCTCAGTTTATAGCAAATTTGAATATTTTCTATCATAGGGAATTTCCACAAGCATCTTGGATTAGATTGCTACATACTTCTTTCACTTAATTTAAATTTATAGTTTGTATATAAGAAAACTGAATGAAAAATAACATAATGATATTAAATTCTTTTAGAATATTGTCTACCTGACTGTTCTTAAAAAATGCATTCTAAATGCTTGCATTTATTCTTTCTTAGTTCATTAACCCTCATCTCGGAGATGGTTGTTACCTTAGTTTCTGCAGCTAGACTTCCTAAGGCAGGAAAACATAAAAAAGGTTAACTAACTTTGCAATATATACCTTTAAAAAGTCCATATTTTTTTGGTGTCAGTTTTGTACATCCAGAGGTCTCAGTTAACTTTGAACAACTGAATCCATTCTAGAATAATAGCAACTCTCACTTCCCAGGAGGCTTGATTAAAAATTTTCAACTGAAATTTCAAAATAAAATAGTAGGTTAATATGAAACTGAAAAGGAATAATGATGCTGTTAATGTAATAACTAGCAGACAGTACTTAGTACTGTGTATCTAGCAACTGGAGTAGAATAATTAAAGGTTGTGCCCACATTGTTAGATTTATTAACTAACATTACTTAAATTCTTTTTATGGTCAAGAATGCTGAACTGTCTGGAAAGGAGATAGTGTTGAATGAGACAGGCCCCTATTGAGTACCTAGTTTAGTCCTTAGCACCTAGTAAATAGTAACTAATATTTGTGGAGTTGAAATGAACTTATTGTATTCATTCTTCTTTTGGATGGTAAGATAACTAAGACCTAATACTTTTCTTTAGAAAGTATATATCCTAAATTGTGGGGGATAAAACACATTTACAAATCATTGTAATAACTAAGAACCAGATCATTGCAATAAGAGATACAAATAAAGTGCCTTGGACGTTTAAAGGAAAGAAAACCTATATCTGATTGTTGAGATGGAAAGTTGCAAATGATATTGGGAAGACATCATGAAAAGTAACATTTGAGAACTTCTTCAAATTAAGATTGCCAGAGGTAGAGGTTGATGAGGAAATTGCTGAAGTATACTTGTACTGAATATTCCAGGTACGACAAAGATCTGACAAGCTGGATACAAAAACCAAATCCAACTGTATGCCATTTAGAAATGTGTCTAAAATAAAGACTTCAGAAATCTTCAAAGTAAATGAAGAAATCAAAGTATCATTTGTGCAGATGATAACCAAGAGAAATCTGGCATGGTTATGTTACTACATCAAAGTCTATTTTAAAACAGAAAAGCATTCAGTTACCTTTGACTTTTCTTTCATAACCAGTCCATCTACTAATACTAGATTGTACTGTCAGAACTTTTCAAGTCTGACCACTTCCTGTACCTTCACCTTTACCTTTCCTTGTCATCACTTTTCATCTGGGAAACCACAGTAGTCTTTTAATTATTGGCCTTTCTCCTTTAACTGTTGTTCCAATACAAACTCTTCTCCATATTTAAGCAGGTGTCTTAGAACACATTGCTACCCTGCCCAGAAAGGCTTTACATTATAGTTGTGATAAAATTGAACCTCCTGAGTACTGTAGAGATTAACTTTGTCTCTGATTTCATTTTCTATCCCTCTGCCTTGGTGTAACACATACAAATCATCTGTTACTTAAGCCTACTAGAGGTGCTGTTACCACAGGGATTTTGCAGTTACTTTCCCCTCTTAGAATTCCTCGTGAACATCCTTATATTTATATGAATTGCTTCAGTTCTTTGAGCAAATATCATTTCCTCAGAGAAGCCTTCTTTGATTACCTATCTAAAAAGACTTTTTCTATACTATCCCTTTCCTATTTGTTAAAGTGCCTGACACATATTAATTAGGTTTTTAAATTGTCTCTACTTTTGGAACGTAAATTCTAAAGATAAAGATTTTTTATTTGGGATTTAACTGTATCACCAGTTACTAGAACAGTAACTGATATGGTTCAAGTATGTGTTGAAAAAAATGAATGAACGGACAAACTTATTATTATAATGTCAAACCATCCCTACACTCTGGACTTAAATTCACTTTTTGGTTATGGCTATACTCTTTTAATTTTTTTTCTTTATTTGCAATAACAGGGGACAGGGTCCCCAGAGACAGGGCCTTGCTAAATTTTGTTCATGTTGTGATCCTCCCATCTCAGCTTCCCTAGTAGCTGAGATTATAGGCATGTGCTTCTGTGCCAAGCTTCTTTTTTGGCTGCAGGGGCGGGAGTGGTTTACGGGGTATTGAACTCAGGGGCACTTGACCACTGAGTCACATCCCCAGACATATTTTGTATTTTATTTGGAGACAGGGTCTCACTGAGTTGCTCAGCACTTCGCTTTTGCAGAGGTTGGCTTTGAACTTGTGATCCTCCTGCCTCAGCCTCCTGAGCTGCTGGGATTACAGGCATGCGCCTGCCACCCTTGGTTCCTGGCTTCTTTTTAATTCTAATTCTCTATGCCTGACTTCTTGGTGTCAGTTCCCCTTTTGAAGTTTTTTAAATAAATGTCACTTCCCCAATTATCATTCTATTTTCTCAAATTATTAAAATTAAATTGAGCAACAAAAACTTCATCTTAAAGCAAACAAAAACCTTACCAAATCCAAAACAAGTGTTCTCTTAGCCTTAGTTTTGCTTAGTAGCCACCAATGTGCCCTATTTAGAAAGCCCTCATTCTCTTTATCTTTCCTTTCCCCCTACTGTTTTTACACTCAGTCTTCTCCCTACTTTTACTTATTTGTGAAAAGTCTCTTGAGTTTCTTCTGCCCTTTTTCACTTTACTTCAGGTCCCAGTCATTCTTCACCTGTAGTAATGTACCTACCTTCTTATCTTTGTGCTCTTTCACCTTCCATTTTATCTTCATGTTGCTGCCAGGGTTATGTTTCTGCATTAAATCCAGATTATAAACTACCCAGGGCTGCTGTGGCTGCTCTAACATCAGGGACTTGGCTTCATTTTTTTCTGTTGCATTGTCCTTAGTTAAGTGACTTCTTCTTTAGAGAGGCCTAGTGGTCCATGATTGCCTTTGGCATTCTGTCTGTCTTGTCTCCTTTTTGTCAAGAAGTGGTAAAGAGCAAGAATATCACTCAATCCCTCCCCTTTTAAGAACCTCCCAAGAATTCCAACCCAGTGACCTCTCCTAACACCCTTTGTCCATCGCTACCTATTAGGGAGGCTGGCAAAGCCTTTTAGTGGAACATTTGCTTTTAGTAGTTTTGTTAATAAAAGGGGGGAGGGATATAGGTTTGAGATAGGAAATTGAGCCACATCATAGGTATGCCATACCTGTGTTCAGCTGCCAAGATGCTTTCATGCTCCCAATTTAGCATGCACTTTTGTGCTTCCAGTCACCTCACTTCACTGTGCTGGGGATTGAACCTTGGGCCTCATCTTACACTGAGGGTCCCCTCTGCCCTGACCACTTCCTGGCTTTTCTATTTGCTTTTATGTCTGGCCTTAAAGATATCTTTCCTTTTCTACCTAGTTACCTCCTATTTGTTCTGTGAAATTGGATTAAATGTAAACTCTTAGGTATAATTAAATATAACTCTTAGGTGCAAAAGTAGTTCCTTTCTCTGCATTTCCTCATATACTTGGATAAGTTGGCAGTTATAGCATACAAGTTAAAAAAGAAAGAAAGAAAGGAAGGAAGGAAGGAAACCAGAGACCTGGAAGGCCCAGAGTGAGGGTCTCACACACCATGGGAAAGCTTTGCAGAGCCTTGGATATGAGGAGGAGGGTGATAGCTGTGGCAGAAGTGGTGACCAAGGCAGGAGATGATTAAGGAAAGGTGCCAGAAAAAGTCCTTTCAAGATAGTTTTGAAGACATAAAGAAGCAAATGAAGGAGAGAAGGAATAAAAGCTTGATGGGATTGGCAAACACAAGTCCTTTGTAGCTGCACCGTGCCAAACAGCACTTCTACATTGCTGAAAAATTACCAGCCAAACAACAGAATGTTAGTTTTAGCTTTGGAAAATGAAAAATCCAAAGTGAGAAAAGCCCAAGATATCATCCTACAGCTGAGAAAAGAACGTTACTACCTTGCATGTCATTTATATGCATTGAAAGAAAAACTTAGTTCACAACAAACAGAAGAAGCTTTTCTGAACGATGGAATATGACCCTTTGGAATGCACTCCAATAGTGATGACAACACCAGGAATGTATTTGTGGAGAATTCACTGTAAATTCTTCTTGAAGAAGCTGACCTTCTAAGACAAGGAGAATCATTCCAAATGGAAGAGGAAATACCTACTAATTCTTCAAGACACACTGGGGGGGCTGGGGATGTGGCTCAAGCGGTAGCGTGCCCACCTGGCATGCGTGCAGCCCGGGTTCAATCCTCAGCACCACATACAAACAAAGATGTTGTGTCCGCCGAAAACTAAAAAATAAATATTAAAAAATTCTCTCTCTCTCTCTCTCTCTTTAAAAAAAAAGACACACTGGGATGTGATTTTGATTCAGATAAAGCTGAGTCTACTGATAATGCATTACCTGGAAC